GCAACCATTAGCTGAATGTACTATCAATAAAATCCTGGGTCGCAAGTACTCATCTTAATATTTAAAAAAAAAAAAAAGTAAATATTTTGATAAATGCAATAATCATTAACATTAATACTTATATATCGAAATTGATTATCTTAATAACTGATCTCATTAAACTAGTTATTATATATACAACTATTTAAAAAAAAAGAATTTAAGTAGTTTTATTTTTTTTTATTTTTTTTTTATATTCTTTCTTTATTTTTATGTTCTATTTCAACTTTTTTTTTGCTTTCTTTAACTTATGCATTACTTTTTTTTAGGCAGTGATTTTTTTTTTACATTTTTTGTTTTAAATCTAGCAGATTTTTTTGCAATTTCTAATTTATGTAAAGACTTTTTATTAGTAAAATAATAAGCAAAAAGTATCATTTTTCTTTTTTTTTATAACTAAAGATTGAGACTTATCAATTTTGCAAATTTTTTGTTCATTAGTTTGTGCTAAAAGTTGAAAAATAGAATACTTAAATATCATTTTTAAAGAACATATATCAGAATTTTTAAAAGTTTTTAATTCTTTACTTATTAATATATAATTTCTTTTAATTATTATTATTTTTTTTTTAACAATTTAATTTTTTTTTCAAAAAATATCAAGTTTGTTTTTAGTATTTTTATTTCTTTGAAAATATCAGCTCTAGTGAAGTAGTTATAAGTGAATTGAGAAGAAAATGATGATGAAAAGATAAAAAAGAAAAAAGAGAATAAGAAAAAGGTGAACAAGAAAAAAGAGAACAAGGAAAAGAAAGACAAAGAAGAAAAAAACAAGGAAGAAATAAATGAAGAAAAGGTAAATGAATAAGAGATATATAAAAAAAAATAAATAAAGAAAAAGTAAATGAAGAAAAAAAAACTAAAAAAAAAAGATATAAAGAATAAAGTTAACTTAGTATTAGAATTAGATAATATAAGGTTAGAGTTTGAGAATAGTCTTTTTATTGGCTGAATAATTTGATGAGATAAAGTTAAAAGTTCATATTCTGTTACTAATAAAAGATCAAAACAGTCAAAGCTAATAGTGTTAGAGTTTAAAAACTAAGTTCCCGTAGTTTTATAAATATTAATAATTGTTTTGGAAATGTAAGTTGCAGTAAATACTGGTTTAAGAATTTTAGTGAATATGTGCTTAGTTATCACTTTTTTCTTAGTATAATATAATGTTTTACAACTATTATTATACTTATTTTTGAGTTTTGTAAATAGGATTTCAGAAAGTTAAAAAATATGAATCATATAAAGAAAAAAAACATAAAATAAAATTCTATTTTCATGATAGTACTTAATATTTGTATAATTTACATGGCTTTTGTGATCATTAAGAATTAATAAAACTAGACAAGTAGATAGAATTAACTTAATAAAATGTTTAATATATATCTGAAAAAGGCTTTCCTACATGTACCTAGTATTAGTAAAGCTCATAACTGCACCAAATGACTCTTTATCTAATAATTCTAGAATCATGCAAACATCTTTATAAATAATTAATAAAGAAATACAATTACCTGCTGCTAAAATTGTTAGAGCAACAGAAATATACTTGTGTATGTTTTATACAAGACTTTGTGAACTTGCCAAGTATCTTTTATGAAATTAGATAATTATAAATTTCAGTAATAGAGATGTGATAACTTAGTAAAGTAAATAAGTTGTTAACTTTCCAAGTGATAGATAGTGAGTTTAAAACCTACTGATGGAAAAATTTGGATAATTACCTATATAATATATAGACAGTATTATAGCAACAACATTCTGTTGATCAGTTGAGATAAGATATCTGTAACATAATCATACTAGTATAACTGGCAGATTATAGGACATCTGTGCAATATTAAAGTTATATAAAGAAATGCAAACTGACATCAGGCAGTGCAAACCCAAGATAAGTTCTTGTAGTTGTGTAAATTTATAAACTAAGAAGCCAGAGCCTACTTGGAAAGTCCTAAGTAGAAAGGTAGTACAGATCTTTAACAGTATTATTATAAAGGCTAAATCTAGAAAATAGATACTAATATAAAAAGAATCAGGTAGGCAAGAATCTCAGGTAAGGAATACTACTAACCAAACTGCCAGAAGTCTTAAACTAGAGAAAAAAGATCTTGAAAGACAGACTCTGGGACAGTGTTATACATAAGACAGTTAAACAAATTTAAGACAAATCTGAAACAAATTTGGAACAATTTTAAAGTTTTAAAAAATAGCAATAATTTAAAATTTTATTAAGAAAACCTTTTTTTAATTTTTAAATAAAGTTATTAAAAATTTAATTTTATATATATTTTATTAATACTTTAATATAACTTTTTAAATTAAAGTTTGAGAAATTGATAAGACAAAGTTGAAACATTTTGAGACATCTTAGAACAAAACAAGGTCAAAAAGGTTTAAGATAGTTAAAATATACAACACTGTTCTAAGGTACCAGAAACAGGTTATAGTTCTTCTGAACTATCTGAATTAGGAGTCTAAGGTCAGAAGCAGAAGTATACTATAAGTACTAGAAATATACTCTGAAGTTAGTACTGAGGTTTAAGTAAACTCTGCAAAAGTAAACCCTGTTAACAAGAGACTAAATATAGTAGTTAGTTAGCAGAGAGACTCTTTAAAGCCCTACAGTTAGATAATATACTCTAAAATGTATAATGGCTTAATGGATATACAGACAAAGAGAGCAAGGTTAGGTTAAACAGAACTTTGATATACAGGAACTTGTGCATTATTTGTTAGTATAAGTATAGAAATCAGAGTGTTTAAATAGATAATCTTCTAGTAGATTGCAGATATAGCAGCTAGTATAGAACCTGCTGTACTGATAAACTACTTAAAATAGACAACCAAAAGTTGATAATCACAACTTTAGTAAAAGCAAATAAATAAATAAATAAAATAAATTTCAGTAATTATATAATAAGCTTATTATCAATTAATTACAACCTAATTATATAAATATGTTTGCATCTCTAATTAGTATCAGCATAATATTTTTACTAATTAATTGCTAATTAAATTTTAATATATACCTTTTGTCATAAGAACCTTTTGAACTTTAAGAACAATGATGAATTATAGCTTATCTATATTTCAGATATATTCTGCAGTAAGTGAACGTTCTTCAATTATTTTTTGTAGCTTTTCAAAATGATTTTTTATAATTATTAGATTTGCTCTTTGAGTATATGCTTCAGACAAAGCTTGAGGCATTTGAAAAAATAAGTTAGAGTGATCTTTCATAAAATAATCTCATCAAGCTCTGCCAGGTCTTTTAGCTGCAAAAGAATAAACATGATGATTGCTATATATTATCTCTATGATATATTAATTAACATCTAACTTTGTCAAACCAAATCCTAACTTTTGCATATTTTTGCAATAACCTACTAGCTGTTCTTTTTTATATTTACTTAAAATTGTTTTAGAGCCAGTATGTTTAGGAAACTGTTTTTAGCAGTATGCCTAAGCATTGCTTCTGAAATTCTGAATCTTAGAATAGTTAAATTTATACTAGAGTTTATAAAATCTTTAAGTTCTTTAAGAGCAGCTTCAATTGCAACACAATAATCTTTTTGGCTAAGTCTTACTATTTTTTTATTAGATACTTTTTTTGATTTGGTTTACAAGTTTGATTTTTTTATATATTTGATTTTAGTTTTTTTATTAGCATTTATTGGCATTTTTTTAAGAGTATTAACAAGTAAAAGTTAGTATAACATTTAATTTTTAATAAAAAATAACTGTTTGATAAAAATCCATGTTGTCTGATTTTATATTATTTTAAAATGCACTTTTTTTTTGTAAAATAATAAAAAGCTTATTTTTATTAGATATGAAAAAAGACAAGAACACTTGACAATTACAGTTTTTGTTTCTAATTGCAATAAATTTATTACTAAAATAATATAATAAAAGAAACTTACAAATAATTTTACTTATAACCTTTTTAAATTAGATTATTGATTTTTAGAATACTAAACTTGTAAATTTAAAAATTTGGAATTACATATGTAGAATTGTTTGGCTTCTAATATTATGCAAAAAGTAGCAAAATAATAACTGTAAAATGCAAAAAAAGAAATTTATACAATAGTACCTTTTGTTTTGATTTTTTTTTAAAATTAAGCACTTATCTTAATAATAACAATAGCTATCATTATTATGAAATAAATATTCTAAATTTAGTACATTTACTTTTAATAAATCTAATATAATATATATATATATATTATTATAATCTTTGAGAAAATTTATGTTTGTTTTTTTTTTTTATTTTTAAATGTTAAGGTGAGTACATGCGACCCAGGATTTTACTGATAGTATAAGTTGGCCAGCATTTGTACATATACAGACACAGAGGCAATTATAGAAAAAGTGTACAACTAGCCACTTGTACAACTTTAGTCATTGTCTAATTTAAGTAGTCCGCCTAAAGGTTCTACACTAGTTGCTATACCTAGAACCTATCTGTAGATCCTCTATTTAAACACTCTGATTCTGCATCCACCACATCTTACTAGTGACTCTAGTAAACTGGTAAAGATATGCCATGGTTACTAAGTCATATTTAACTTTGTACTAAACCTACCAGTGCGTTCTGTATTCCATACTTACAGCTCATCTGGTCATGCTTTGGCCTAAACCATCACTTGCAGTCAGGGCTAACCATTAAACTGCTTTTACCTTTGTAAGGTTTACCCAAAACCCCAGTATCCATCTTTCTAACATCCTCTCTATCGTCTCCTACTAACTGCTACTTAGGATCAACAGGACTCCTTGGACTTCCAATCCAGATGGCCTAGTATGATATATCTTAGTATCCTTTTCCTTTAGCAATTCTGGTAACCTGGTTGGTCATATGCTCTTTTATACATCTTGTCATCCAGTTTATTCACCTATTTCTTTGGGAGTGTTTTATGGGCTTCTATTAGTCCAACAGCACTGTCAAAAGTTTTGTGCTACCTCCTTACTCAGGATTTTCAAGTAGATTTCTAACTCTTCAGTTCCTTTGCTTTCCACACCTGGTGGTCTTATCGTGGGTTTGCACTGAAGTCTTATGCAACATCGGTTATTAACATTTCTCTATGTGGGTATAACATTACACTTAGCATAGATGCCTCAAGCTCTCATTTGAGATGGTGCAACAAAGGTTACAGATACACCAATTCAACTGATCGACAGAGACAGTTACCATAACACAGACCTATTTTCCAAAATTTGTTGTCCATGGGATTTGAACTCTAGATCTGCCACTTGGGGATTGACAACCTGACTACTTCACTAGATCACCACACTCCTGAAAATTTATGTTTGTATGCATATACATTAAACATAATTACTATTTTTTTGTTACTTTCAAACAAAAGTGTTTTTTTATAAGTAAGTGTCTAGACTTATATAATTTAGAAGTTTTTTATTGATTATATAATAAAAATTTTCTAAAACATATAAGTTTAGATACTCTAACTAAAAACAAAGATCAGAATAATTAGTAACTAATTATTTTATAAAAGAATATAATTTTATTATTGATTAGAATTTAATTATAGTCTTTTAAGTATTTATTTTAAAAATTGTATATTCAAAGATATATACAATAATGCAATTAATTTTATTAAAGTTAGTATCTTTATATAAAAAACATAAATATTTTTTTTTTTTTTTTTCCCTTAAGCAGTCACGCTAGTACTTTATTAAGATTTTGGAATTACATTCGCAATTACATA